ATTTCAAATGCTAATTTCTATTTGTATGATGTTCTTAGGATTGTCCGTGTGGAATGCATTTCATTATTGTGCTATTGTTAATGATACCTTTCAATTTTTGGCCAGGGGCTATTAAGTTTATAAAGAAAATGAATATCGGTTCTCTCGAGATTGGAGATTATCTTGGTACTACTCAACTGTCTGTTTCCCTGTTATTTTCCTCTTTATTTTCCACTACCATAACACATCTTTTTGCTCTCTTAACTTAATTATTTTCAGCGATTGGAGCAATCTTTTCTGCTACAGATTCTGTTTGCACCTTGCAGGTATAGATAGCATTTTCGGCTGTAGTCTTGTAGAATTGAAACATTCATGACGAGTGATCTGATGATGCAGGTGCTTAATCAGGATGAGACACCTTTACTATACAGTCTAGTATTTGGTGAAGGCGTTGTAAATGATGCCACATCAGTGGTGCTTTTTAATGCCGTTCAAAATTTTGACCTATCTCATATGAGCTCAAGCATTGCTTTGCAGTTAGTTGGCAATTTTTTATATTTGTTTATCACAAGCACTGTGCTGGGAGTTGCTGTGAGTCTCTCTCTCTCTCTCTCTCTCTCTCTCTCTCTCTCTCTCTCTCATAAGTTTCTGCATGATTTTGAATAGATATGGTTATGTGACACCATATTCCTACAACTACAGGTCGGACTGCTTAGCGCGTACATTATAAAAAAGCTATATTTTGGAAGGTATGTAAATGTTTCACTCGAATTGACACTGCATACTTGAAGATTGAATGAAATCCCTGATCATATAAACCATGTGAATCAAAGTTCAGAACAGGTATAATTTGTCAGAGTCAAGAAGATGGTGCAGTTGTAGGTGATTAATATTTGCTTTTTTACATCTGCTTCTGCACCAGATATGTTGGTATGACATTGGTACAACATAATTGGTTTCTGGCTGGATGTGCCTTAAATTCTATAGTATAAGTTGACATTGAAGATAGATTATGCGATGGAAAGAAGCACAAGGAATTTGCCTTCTTTTACTGGGATTACTATTTATACCTGATTTTCTAATGAACTCCAGGCATTCCACTGATCGTGAGGTTGCTATTATGATACTCATGGCTTACTTTTCGTATTTGCTGGCAGATGTAAGTATGTTATTGTTGTGGTTTCTAAGACCTGGAATATTTTAGCTCTCTGTTTCTACGTTACATAGGATAGGAACCTTTGGACCATTGAATTTCAGCATTTTGATGCTTATGTTGATGCTAAACTTGTCTCGCAGCTATTCTATTTAAGTGCCATCCTCACTGTGTTTTTTTGCGGGATTGTGATGTCCCACTACACCTGGCACAATGTCACTGAAAGTTCGAGAATCACTGCTAAGTATGTGTGGCATCCAGTAACAGTTGGAACGACTCCATGTTCGTGCTGTTTCTCTTTAGCCAGAATGCTAAATTGACATGTAAATTTTGTTTCTTTTGTATGCTCTTGTAGGCATGCTTTTGCGACATTGTCATTTGTTGCTGAGATATTTATTTTTCTCTACGTTGGCATGGATGCTTTGGACATTGAAAAGTGGAGTGTTGTTAGTGACAGGTATGGTTTACATGCATAAAGAGAATGAGTCATGTTCTGGAAAAAATAAGTCATCGTTTCATGTTTTGATGAGATGTGCCATTTATGTGAACTGTGGCAAATTGCAATTTTTTTTTTTATCTTTTTTGGGACATCAGTCTTAATTTCTGTTGTTTTTTTCTTTTGTCAGCCCTGGAACATCAGTTTGGGTGAGCTCAATTCTGTTGGGACTGGTTTTGGTTGGAAGAGGAGCCTTTGTTTTTCCCATTGTCATTTTTGTCCAACTTGACGAAGAAGTCTCCTCACGAGAAAATTTATCTGAAGCAGCAAGTATGAGTTGACTGTTCTGGATTCGTGTTTCCAGTACTATGATTATTTGGCACACTTCATTAATTTAATTGTCCAGGTTACAATATGGTGGGCTGGTCTAATGCGAGGTTCTGTTTCTATGGCTCTTGCTTATAATCAGGTAAATAACATGTTTATACAGTCTTATAACTTGGTTAACAGATATGATCTTGTTATATTATGCACAAGACAAACATAGGAACCACCTTATTCTTGTGCTTATTATAGGCTGTGCTTTTCTATGACTTGTTCACCACAGGCAGGGAACGAGGAGGATGAGGGGTGGGGGGTTTGAAGAAGCATTTGATGTTGGGTGTTTTTTGTGTACTGAATTCATAATTTTCATTTATGCAGTTTACAAAGTATGGCCATACCAAACTACGTGGGAATTCGATGATGGTCACCAGTACCATCACAGTTGTTCTCTTCAGCACAGTGGTGAGACATGTTAATTCTTAGGCATCTGCTGACAGATGGGGTTGCAATCTATAAGTGGGCCCGTCTACCTGGTTTTAAGTTCCAGACCTTAAAAATAGGCCAAGTCAAAAAGACAATAGAACCATTGAAAATGTTTTCTGAATCTTCTCAACTTCTAGCCTTTATGATTCAGTAGAATTTCCTGATTTTTTTCTCTGAACTCGTTGGAACGTGATTTTATCCTAAGAATGGGTTTTCATAGAAAATTACATATACCCATCTGCACATAAGCTTCCATGGTAACTTAGCGTTGAGCTTTAAACATGAAGGTAGTGTGAAAATCTGAATTTTCCTACCTATTCGTGCTGACAACCCCGAACCTGGTTGCTCGTGGTTAGCTCAGCACCAGTATATTGCTGTAATTTTTGACAGTTTTGAGCCTACTGGGATTATTAAGTCTGGAAATTAAATGACCTGTTTTTAATAGCTACTTCAACAATGTGGCTGCAGTTGATTTGTAGCACAATATTGTCGCACATTCCCTTCTAGGTTTGTTTCTTTCATTGATCACAGTTTCTTTCTCCTGTGATACATGTAGGTGTTTGGATTGATGACTAAACCTCTGGTGAGGCTCTTGCTGCCCACGCCAAAACACTTGAGCATCATGGTTTCCTCCGAACCAGTTACTCCTAAATCCTTCACCGTGCCACTTCTTACCCATGGGCAGGATTCAGAAGCCGACCTCAGCAGTCACAGCGTGCCCCGTCCAACCAGCTTGCGGATGCTTCTGTCAAAACCAACTCACACCGTTCACCATTAATGGTGAACGGTGTGAGTTGGTTTTGACAGAAGCATCCGCAAGCTGGTTGGACGGGGCACGCTGTGACTGCTGAGGTCGGCTTCTGAATCCTGCCCATGGGTAAGAAGTGGCACGGTGAAGGATTTAGGAGTAACTGGTTCGGAGGAAACCATGATGCTCAAGTGTTTTGGCGTGGGCAGCAAGAGCCTCACCAGAGGTTTAGTCATCAATCCAAACACCTACATGTATCACAGGAGAAAGAAACTGTGATCAATGAAAGAAACAAACCTAGAAGGGAATGTGCGACAATATTGTGCTACAAATCAACTGCAGCCACATTGTTGAAGTAGCTATTAAAAACAGGTCATTTAATTTCCAGACTTAATAATCCCAGTAGGCTCAAAACTGTCAAAAATTACAGCAATATACTGGTGCTGAGCTAACCACGAGCAACCAGGTTCGGGGTTGTCAGCACGAATAGGTAGGAAAATTCAGATTTTCACACTACCTTCATGTTTAAAGCTCAACGCTAAGTTACCATGGAAGCTTATGTGCAGATGGGTATATGTAATTTTCTATGAAAACCCATTCTTAGGATAAAATCACGTTCCAACGAGTTCAGAGAAAAAAATCAGGAAATTCTACTGAATCATAAAGGCTAGAAGTTGAGAAGATTCAGAAAACATTTTCAATGGTTCTATTGTCTTTTTGACTTGGCCTATTTTTAAGGTCTGGAACTTAAAACCAGGTAGACGGGCCCACTTATAGATTGCAACCCCATCTGTCAGCAGATGCCTAAGAATTAACATGTCTCACCACTGTGCTGAAGAGAACAACTGTGATGGTACTGGTGACCATCATCGAATTCCCACGTAGTTTGGTATGGCCATACTTTGTAAACTGCATAAATGAAAATTATGAATTCAGTACACAAAAAACACCCAACATCAAATGCTTCTTCAAACCCCCCACCCCTCATCCTCCTCGTTCCCTGCCCTGTGGTGAACAAGTCATAGAAAAGCACAGCCTATAATAAGCACAAGAATAAGGTGGTTCCTATGTTTGTCTTGTGCATAATATAACAAGATCATATCTGTTAACCAAGTTATAAGACTGTATAAACATGTTATTTACCTGATTATAAGCAAGAGCCATAGAAACAGAACCTCGCATTAGACCAGCCCACCATATTGTAACCTGGACAATTAAAATTAATGAAGTGTGCCAAATAATCATAGTACTGGAAACACGAATCCAGAACAGTCAACTCATACTTGCTGCTTCAGATAAATTTTCTCGTGAGGAGACTTCTTCGTCAAGTTGGACAAAAATGACAATGGGAAAACAAAGGCTCCTCTTCCAACCAAAACCAGTCCCAACAGAATTGAGCTCACCCAAACTGATGTTCCAGGGCTGACAAAAGAAAAAAACAACAGAAATTAAGACTGATGTCCCAAAAAAGATAAAAAAAAAATTGCAATTTGCCACAGTTCACATAAATGGCACATCTCATCAAAACATGAAACGATGACTTATTTTTTCCAGAACATGACTCATTCTCTTTATGCATGTAAACCATACCTGTCACTAACAACACTCCACTTTTCAATGTCCAAAGCATCCATGCCAACGTAGAGAAAAATAAATATCTCAGCAACAAATGACAATGTCGCAAAAGCATGCCTACAAGAGCATACAAAAGAAACAAAATTTACATGTCAATTTAGCATTCTGGCTAAAGAGAAACAGCACGAACATGGAGTCGTTCCAACTGTTACTGGATGCCACACATACTTAGCAGTGATTCTCGAACTTTCAGTGACATTGTGCCAGGTGTAGTGGGACATCACAATCCCGCAAAAAAACACAGTGAGGATGGCACTTAAATAGAATAGCTGCGAGACAAGTTTAGCATCAACATAAGCATCAAAATGCTGAAATTCAATGGTCCAAAGGTTCCTATCCTATGTAACGTAGAAACAGAGAGCTAAAATATTCCAGGTCTTAGAAACCACAACAATAACATACTTACATCTGCCAGCAAATACGAAAAGTAAGCCATGAGTATCATAATAGCAACCTCACGATCAGTGGAATGCCTGGAGTTCATTAGAAAATCAGGTATAAATAGTAATCCCAGTAAAAGAAGGCAAATTCCTTGTGCTTCTTTCCATCGCATAATCTATCTTCAATGTCAACTTATACTATAGAATTTAAGGCACATCCAGCCAGAAACCAATTATGTTGTACCAATGTCATACCAACATATCTGGTGCAGAAGCAGATGTAAAAAAGCAAATATTAATCACCTACAACTGCACCATCTTCTTGACTCTGACAAATTATACCTGTTCTGAACTTTGATTCACATGGTTTATATGATCAGGGATTTCATTCAATCTTCAAGTATGCAGTGTCAATTCGAGTGAAACATTTACATACCTTCCAAAATATAGCTTTTTTATAATGTACGCGCTAAGCAGTCCGACCTGTAGTTGTAGGAATATGGTGTCACATAACCATATCTATTCAAAATCATGCAGAAACTTATGAGAGAGAGAGAGAGAGAGAGAGAGAGAGAGAGAGAGAGACTCACAGCAACTCCCAGCACAGTGCTTGTGATAAACAAATATAAAAAATTGCCAACTAACTGCAAAGCAATGCTTGAGCTCATATGAGATAGGTCAAAATTTTGAACGGCATTAAAAAGCACCACTGATGTGGCATCATTTACAACGCCTTCACCAAATACTAGACTGTATAGTAAAGGTGTCTCATCCTGATTAAGCACCTGCATCATCAGATCACTCGTCATGAATGTTTCAATTCTACAAGACTACAGCCGAAAATGCTATCTATACCTGCAAGGTGCAAACAGAATCTGTAGCAGAAAAGATTGCTCCAATCGCTGAAAATAATTAAGTTAAGAGAGCAAAAAGATGTGTTATGGTAGTGGAAAATAAAGAGGAAAATAACAGGGAAACAGACAGTTGAGTAGTACCAAGATAATCTCCAATCTCGAGAGAACCGATATTCATTTTCTTTATAAACTTAATAGCCCCTGGCCAAAAATTGAAAGGTATCATTAACAATAGCACAATAATGAAATGCATTCCACACGGACAATCCTAAGAACATCATACAAATAGAAATTAGCATTTGAAA